CCCCCCGGGCCGGAGCCAGGGGCGCCCACCGGCGACGGCAGGGGAGGGGAAGGGCGGATCGACGCCGAGAGCAGCGGCGCAGGGGCCGCCCCGGCCGCCTCCCAGGGAGGCGGCGCGGGGGCGGAAGGAGGGGGAGGGGAGGAGGGGCGGGGGGAGGAAGGGCCGGATCCGGGCCGCGCGCCGGCGAGGGAGGCCGGATCCCGCCGGCGACGAGCGGGGAAGGGCGGCGGCGGCTAGGGTTGCGGGGCTCTTGACCTCGCTTGGGAGCCCTGACTCCAGTCGCCTCCGTCAGTCTTTTTCCCTAAAGTTCAATTGGAAATAGGAATTATGCAGCATTTTACATGCTTTCGTCAAATCTAACCTCTTTCATTCGTATTAGGTCAGCAGCCAAGTGCACGTTGGCCTTTACTCTCCACCTACAACTCTTGTTCTTGGTTAGTTATGCAAGAAACAAAAAAGTAGATCTGAGCCTCATACCTCTTACCTCCTCTTTTCACATAAGATCTAAGGATATAAAATAGTTCTGAGCCGTTGATCTTATTAATTAGTGACATGATTAACTTTTATCTTCTTACCTCACATATAAAAAGATGAGGTAAGAAAGATCATGTTAAAATTTACTAACAAAATTAGACCAAGAGGGAAGGAACCCTGCGGCTTTGTAATTAAGAGAGAAGATGTGAGACCTAAGTTCAAATACACGAAATTGAATCTAACCTCTTCCATTCGTTTTAGGTCAGCAGCCAAGTGTACGTTGGCCTTTACTCTCTATCTACAACTCAGTTCTTGGATAGTTGTGCAAAAAAATAAAATTAGACCACCAGGGGAGGAGCTCCGTGGCATTTTAAGTAAGAGAGAAGATGCATGTGAGACTCAAGTTCAAACCCACGAGATTGACCAATATAGCCAAATGTTACAAATGACCCCCACAGGGTTTGAACCTCCGCCGGCTAGAATGCACAACGACGCTCCAACCACTTGGCTAAGAACCTGTCCACTTTGATAGTCATGCATGTGCCAAACTTATATGGACAATCCCAACATCTTACAAAGGCTGCAATATGTGTTAGATCATAGGATTGTTCTCCACGTTATGTAACATTCCATGTAATCTCAGTTTTCGTTATCTCTCTCCCTGTCAAACTCCTAGCTGTAACACCGAATCCAAACGATCGCCAATATCCTTAGATCTGTGAACTGCAGACAAAACCTTGTTCGTCTCGCAGTCACAATCTCAGGTCACAAACCCAAAACGTCATCACCAACAGCAAGAAGGGCGCCATGCCCAACATCACATACATTGTCAAGATGAAGAGCCTTGGGGATGAGTTAGTTGATGTTGACCGTTCGGTGTTTGATCCAAAGATGGTCGACTACATCCTCACAGGGCTTGATTGTGAGTACGTCCCATAGATGCAGCAGTCTGCACCATAAAAAAATCCATCAATGTTGATGACCTAATTGGCACAAATTCCCTCCTTCGATCAGAGGATGGAGATGCTAGGTGATGGGTCAAGTGGTGGCTTCACTACTAGGGAAAACGTTATACACAGAACTTTAGCAGTAGCGCTTGTTAAAAGAGCATGCTACTACTAGGCAACAGTAACACGTGCAAAATAAATGCGCTGCAGATGGACATATATCAGTAGCGCGTCTCACCGAAAACTCGCTACTACTAAAATTCCAATCACTTAGCCGATGGGCTACACATAGTAGTACCGATCTTGGAAAAACCGTGCTACCGCTAATAAACTTATAGCAGCGCGTTTATGCGTAAATCGCTACTGCTAACGAAAATAATAAATGAAAAATGAATAGAGAAGTAAATGAAAATGAAAGAAATAGAAAAAGGAGAAAGGAAAAATATAAAATGTAAAGAAAAATAAATGAAAAAGGGACAAAATGATGAAGACGTAGCAGTAGCGCGCTTTCTGAAACGCGCTATAGCTAACTTAGCTATACCGTGTTTTCTGTAACGCGCTGCCGTTACTTTTGACTTAACCAAAAACGGTTTCCCCCTGGCCACCACTTCTCCCCCAAATCGATCCCTCGCCCCACTTCGTCGTCGCCCCCACTTCGTCGCCATCTCCTGACGGCGTCGACGCCGCGCTCATCCTCACGGCCGCCGCCCGAGGCCGCCCAGCCTCACCGCCGCCGCCTCTCGGGCTGCCCTCGACCTCACCGCCGCCGCCCTCGACCTCACCGCCCCCGAGCCCGCCAGGACCCCGCGTCCAGATCCTGAGCCCGCCCTTGCCGCCCCTACCTCCGTCGCCGAGCACCTCCCCGCCACCGTCTCTCCCCTCTCTGTAAGCTCCCCCACCATCCTTTTTAGTTAATATATGTTCATGTTAAGTAGTAGATAATGTTGATGTTTTTTTGTTAGGGTAATAATAGACGATGTTAAGTAGTGGATAATGTAGATGTTAATTAGTTCAGTAGGGTTTAGTTTTTGAATTGAGTTTGTTTAACTAGATGTTAATTAGGGCAGTAGGGTTTAGTTTAGAGTAAAGTTTAGTTCAGTAGTTAACTAAATATAATCTATATTTGGTTTTTGAATTGAGTTTGAGAGAGCATGAGATTTGTGCAGATTTTCTTGAAGTGTCAAACGCTAGGACATGCAAATTTGAAGTGGTCAGTATATATGGCAAAGTCCTCAATTGTGTTTGCCCATGTTTCGATTGTGCCCAAGTGGCCTTTTGTTGTTTCCAGGGAATGAAGCTGAGTGGCCTATGTTTTGCCAGAATGTTGATTCATTTCCATGCCGGCAAATTTCAGGTTCTTGATTTGTCCACTTTTTAGCAAAGGTCTTGCCGAAATTTTCTGTGAATTTCGGCATGACTTGTGCTACAAACTAGGACATATGGAGTGCCCAGGATTTGCCACACCAGGAAGGAGTCAACGTTCCTGCAAAACATAGGCCTTTTGTATGTCATTATTCATTTTATTAGGTCTAGAATTAATTTACTAGATTTAAACATAGGAAACATGGCTAGCAACGATGAAGGACATAGTTCTGGTGATTGCGACGATGTCTACCTGGCGGCAGACGAATTTTTGAGCCTTGCCGATGATCAACTGATGTTGTTGCCGGGCCCATCGGTTGCATCGGGGACTGAGACTGACACGCAGAACATTAACAAAAAGGATTACGCCCGATACTCCCACGCTCTTTACTTGGACTCGTCGAAGAACATTAACAAAAAGGATTACACACACGTCAAGTCTATTTTCGACAGTGCTCTGTTTTACTACGGCGCATGGGGTGGAGAGGTCAAGGACAAGAAGAAAAAGGACGGCAGGCCCACCTTCGACCATAAAACCGACTTCTGCTGCATCCAGCAACCGAGTGTTTCTCTTAATGATGGATTCTATGTCCTACACCAGATGTTGGAGTACAGACGAGATCACCAGAACCTTCGCATGTCACCTACATCCGGTGATGCCCATATTCTGCAATGGGCAAAGAACTTAGGAGATATCGAGGATCATCGAATTCGAGCTGAGTTCTATCACATCTAGCGCGAACTTGCCCAAATCATTATGAAGGAGGTCGTCGAAAAAATAGGGGTGTTCTACGAAGAAGGATAAATGTCGCGGGAAGACGTCCGAACACGCGTAGACGCTCAGCGTCTCGACCTGAAGCCTTTCACTAAGCTTGGGGACTATCTCCCTGACTTGGATGGATGGCACGACATGGAGTGATTGTCGATATATGACAATGTGTCTGTTTAGTCCATACTATCTGTATGACGAAACTTTGAATTATGCACGACGAAAGTTTATTTGTGATGTAATTAAACCGTCCTCCTCGACTAGCGAAGATCACTCTAGTTAGGGCATTTTAGATACGATGAACTTTGTTATTTATGCTTATGATATGTTGCTTCTATTTTTGCCAAGTCTGCCTCTTTTTGTTGCTCAACTATATATGTTGCATATCATCGACTCATGTGACGATGCAGGTGTATAGATCATCGATGGCGAAGAAGTGCTACGCCAGGAGTATATGACGAGTGGCCGGAATGTCAGGCCCAGGTGTACCGATTTTCGGTTTTCAAGCGACAGCCAGTAGTTAGTTTAGGTTCACGCAAAGTGATAGCTCTTCTCGCGTATATCATTGTTTAGATGGATGACGATGTAGTTGCAAGTAATCGAGATTTGTATCGCTATTTTCGAGATGATGACGAGAGACCACTTTGTGTTGGATGATGATTATGATGATGACATGATTTGATGAGACTATTTGTATGTATATGCTATGATTATATTTGTATGTGTATCATATGCTAAAGATTATTGTATAAAGCCTATTCAAATACAAAACAAATATGCAGAAAAAAACTACTAAAATTAGCAGTAGCGAGTGGAGAAAAGTTAGCAGCAGCGCCACTGTAGCAGTAGCACGTCCAGGCAAAGCGCGCTAGAGCTATTAGCAGTAGCGAGCTTCCACGAAGCGCGCTGCTGCTACACTTGTATAGCAGTAGCGCGGGTGTGCACGTGCTACTGCCACGGGTCAGCTGTAGCGCCTTATTAGTAGCGCCGGTCCCCGCGCTACTGATATATACCTAGAACCCGCGCTGCTGCTAGCCTTTTCCCTAGTAGTGCTTCCACACATCAGCCAACGCGACCTACAAAGGTCGCGGTCAGGCTTGCGGCAGAGGCTATCGCGGGCGAGGATGTAGGGAGCACGACCATGGATATCACCCTTCTCCTCCTGTTGGCGGTGTTGGTGGCTACATCAGCAAGAACATGACCACCCCGAGTGCCAAATTTGCTTCAAGCATCATGCCGGAGGCGCATGAGCATGCTAGTGGCTCTACGAAGAGAACGACCATCACGAGGAAAAGAGGGCAAACAAAGTCACAAATTTCTACGGTATTAATAATAATGGGAATGCAGATACAGGTGCCACCAACCACATCACGGGGATGCTCGACAAGCTAACAGTGCGGGAAAAATACAATGGATCTGACCAAGTGCACACGACAGACGATTTTCATATGCCTACTACCCATATTGGTAGTTCAATTGTTAAAAGACCCATGAAAGATTCGCATCTAAGCAATATTTTGCATGTTCCTCAAACATAAAAAGATCTTGTCTCCGTTCATTAATTTACTCTTAACAATAATGTTCTTATAAAGTTTTATCCTTATTATTTTTTCATCAAGGACTTGGAAACAAGGAGAATCATTGTTAGAGGAAAGTGTGTGGGAGGTCTCTACCCACTCATCTCATCATTCCTCATGGTCAAATAAACAAGCTTGTGTCATCATCAAGCTGTCTTCAGCAAAGCGGCATAGTCGGTTGGGTCACCCATCTTCAACTATTATTCGATAAGTTCTTAGAAAAAAAAGTTTCATGTAAGTCTAATATCGAGTCAATTTGTGATCCATGTTAGCAAGCTAAAAGTTATCAGTTACCTTACCCTATTTATACTAGTGTGTCAAGATATCTTGTGTTCTCAGATGTATGGGGTTCAACTCCTACTTTAGTTGGTAGATATTCATACTATGTAAGTTTTATTGATGAATACATCAAATATACTTGGATTTACCTCTTAAAGACATGATCTGATGTATTCCATGTTGTCAGCAATTTCCAAAATCTTCTTGGACGCAAACTCTAAAATCCTTACCATGTAAACTGACTGGGGTGTGAGTATGAGAAGCTAAATTCTTTCATTCAAAAGATTGGCATCTCGCACCATGTATCTTGCCCACATGCACATTGGCAGAACAGATCCGTTGAACAAAAGCATGGCATGTTGTTGAAGTAGGTCTCACATTGCTAGCAAATGCATCTATGCCACTGAAATTTTGGGATGAAGTGTTTTAACCACCACATATCTTATCAACTTGCTTCCTAGAAAATTCATAAAATTTGAGACTCCCATCACATATCTCTTTGGGAACACAGCAGACTATAAATCTCTTCACATTTTTGGTTGTGCATGTCGGCCAAATCTCATAACATACGACACACGCAAGCTCGCATTTCGTTCAAGAAATGTGTTTTCCAAGGATATAGTCTGATTCATAGGAGAAGGGGGCTGGGGGTTGAAATTCCTCGATGTTCCCACGGGCAGGGTCCGTGTTTGATGAGGCGATCTTCCCATTTGAGTCTTTGCATCCCAATGCTGACGCCCTCATTCACAAAGAAATTCTTCTCTTTCTATCTCTTCCCCGGAGTTTTGATCATCAGGGAGATAATAATTGCACTAACCAATATGATAATCATGCGACTCCTAGACCGCCTTTCGTCCCTATGCAGCCTGGAGAAAACACAACTGAAAATGATCAAAACATGGAAGAAACCAAACTATATTTCGTGCTCAAGAAGTACAAGCGGCCCAAGCGGAATACGGGGATGCTATGGCAGTGCCTAGCTACCACCCTGGCACGCTAATTTGC